AGAGGACATCTTGTGAAAGAGCAAAGAGCTGAAAGTCAAGCTTGGTAGGAGATGGCCAGTAGGAACAAAGCATTGCAAACTCCCTTCTAGGCTCCTGCTCCTGCTGCCAGTCCCCAGTGCCCTGTGGAGAGTGCTGCCTGCCAGGGAGCTTGCACCCTATTTCAGGGCTGCTGCTTTGTGCAGCCCAAGGCCTGCTGTTCTTCAGGGGTCCTGTGCTAGGCCAAATGACCACACCTGCTATTTCATTCAAAGGTGGAAATCACAAGGTGGGCTATCCACACTGTCAGCAATGGGAACTCATGTTACTCCCCATGACTCCCATTTCTGCAAGAAGTGTGGACAGTTTCTGACCGAGTCACTGCTCTAGCTACCAGACACCCTGTTGAAACAGTTATGAAATATTTGAAGTTGAGAAGTTGAAAGGAGAAGTTTTTTACTGCTGCTTCCCAAGTTTCTTATCTGTCTCACTCAGCACACCACTAAGAGTTAATTATATTCTCACAACAGCTGCATAAAGCAATGTGTTTTTTTCCTGTGCATTTTATGGATGAGGAAACTGAATTACAAAGGTTGAACATGATTTGCACAGAGGTATCTGGATCAGAGCCCAGAAGAGAAATTAAACTTGATGAGAATCCAGAGAAAGTTAAGCTGGGACATAAGGAATGAGACTCTGGAATCAATTTAACGTACAGGTTTGGGGTGTGACGTAGAGCCAAAAATGAATGATCATTATCTTTCATAAATATCACATGTATCCTACTTTTCCTGTGTGAAAATATCTCAGCTATGTAGTTAGAATTAAATCAAACAAGATCGGTGGGAGGAACGTGACACGAAACGGAGAGGGGCTGATGCAAGGATCTTCAGTAAAGCAATGGGCAAGCTGCTCAGCGGCAGGTCTAGCAAGCTGCACTCTCCCTCACTCAGCATACGCAGCATATAGGAAATGTTAGTTGGTACAACTAACCTGTGCACAACCTACCTCCCCCTCCACATTCATAGAAGAAGCACAGTCACAGCCTACACAGTGTAGGTCATGCATGCATCACCTTTTTGTACAAGACGTGTCAGGAGTCTTTGCAGCGATAAAGATAAGAACAGGGAAATATTCCTGAGGCAAAGGGAAAACGAAATGTGAATGTTTCAGGGGAATCAGTGTACCGTTCAGAAAAGACATGAAATTCAGCGAAAGATAGTGAGAAGGAAAGCTTAAAGCACCTATTCCAGAAGCAAGTGGAAACAAGAGTCTCCAGGGCTGGAAGAGGCAGAGAAGGTCCAGAATTGGTCAGAGAGAGTAACAGATAGATATCACTTTCTGTAGCATATTTACCTGCAGACTTCTTTCCTTCTACTTCCTTCCTACATATTGCAATCTTCAGGCAATTCCCTGCCATACTCTCATTTTCAGGCTTCTTTTCAGCTGCTTCTTTCCCACTAGCCATAGCCTTTAGCAATTTGCCTCCCACTTTTTTCAGTTTCCCTCTCTTCTTTGCTTCCTGCTCCTTTCCCTCCTCCCGAGCAGTCTTGGGAAGCATCCTTGCATTTTCACCAGCCGCTTTCTCCCCCTTGCTGCTGCTTCTCCTGAAGAGTCCCCAGGAACACTTCATCTTCCTCATCATCCAAGCAGATCCAGGTATTTTCTGCCTGACTGGGGAAGAGAAATGTTAGAAACACTTTTACGCAAGGTGATGCCTCCGGTGCAAGTTTAGCAGCTATTTGCCAGAGAAGCCGTTTTTGCCCAGATGTCGTTTCTGTGCTACTACAAGCTCCTAACTGCCTTCTAAGAAATGTAACCTGTTTCCTGCCCATGTTGAGGCAGGAAATTTTTATAGGCTGCCAACTCTGTTATGTAATCTGTCTCTTTTAGGAAACAAAGTCAAAAATCTCATACACAATCTAACCACAAGGCGCTGGGGGAAAGCCAGTGGAATTTTCAGCATTTTCTAAATGACTAAACCATCCTTGAGTGCTGCCAATTACTTCAGTGACAATCCTATCAGTTTAAGAAAGTTTATTGCTAATAGCTTCTATGAAACACACCTCACGCTTGCACACATGCCACGTGCCCTGATTGCACCTGAGTTCTGCAGGGAGGAACATATTCCTCGTTTTGGAGCCAAGTTTTCCTCCACCTCTCCGGAAATCTAATGCTAGACAACAGGGAAGTAAAATGTCAGAAGACGGGTGTTGGTTCATGTTTTAACAGCACCATTCAGAGGAGAGGAGAGTGATCTCAAGCTTCTGGATTGAACAATTTTGCAGCAGTTTTATATATTATTATAAACTATTTATATAGCTATAGAAAATAAATGTCATAAAATTACAGCAACCCATCATAAAAGTGTATTATGCATGCACGTATGTATATAGGTATATTCACTAGTCAAACTCCACCGTGCAAACAAAGGGGATTTATGCCTACTCAGTACAAGGATCATATTTTTGAGCCCTGAACTATTAAGAGTTCTGATCCATAATCCTCCAAACAAGTTCCTAAACAGAAAATGTCATTTAACTTCAGGAGCACGTGTTTAAAACAGATTTTTGGAAGTGTCTGCACTGCTGTAAGCAAGGCAATACACTTAGAGATAAGCTAAAATGCTATCCATACTATGCTTTATCTTGCTAGGTAGTTGCAATCTGGTTTTATTTTTCCATTCCATTAATATAAAACTGGAATCAGGAACTGGAGGATTTTCATCAGCTGAGGACAGAGTCTTGTGTCAGCTATCAGCCATTATAAGCCATATTTATTAAAAATCGTGTACTATTCAAGAACGATTTCTCTGGATATGAATTTAAGGTTAATTATTCCACCCAGCATCTAGATTAAGGAGATGTGAAGTCATCTTTCTGGGTATAATGCCTGCAATCTCCTTCCAAGATTTTCTACATTTTCATGACAGTAAAATTCCACTAGTTCACTACTTGGAAACAAAGTAAATATTGTGTTGTTCTTTGTTGATATACTACTATCTCAGATTTCATACCCTCTAACTCTCTTATTCAATGGTTAATTCCAACAGCACGTTATCGTACAGCAGTCTGATTCATTAGTAACAAGAGGAAGAAGCAGGAAATAAACACAGTTCATTTGGAAAGAAAAATATAAATTCCAGCAGTGGTCATAGAACTGAATTGTTGCCAATAGGAAATAATGAGATTGCAAAATATGGTGTTACCCCAGATTGTGAAAAAAGTCAGAAACACAGTTTCTATGTATGTTCCATTTTGATCCTCCTTTTTATTTGCCTAAAGTTAAAATGTTTCCTTTGGAATATTCTAGCTGTAACATATATTAATACATGACAAAGTCAGAGCATTAGAACTGAAGAGAAGCATTCCAAGCATAGTGAAATAGTTCAATAACAGTTTCCCATGAAAATCCCAACACAATGTGTTTATGTTTCACTTCATCAGCATTTTCCACTAAGACTAGCTCTAACAAGAATAATGTCCAGAATTTTGCTGGACTTCTTTGTAAAACAAAATGCGATTTCATGCTACCAATCCTACAGGCAAGACACTTTGCAGTATACAAACTCTGAATACAGGAGAATAGCAGAATCAAGCCCTAAATCAAGGCAAAGTGGTATATGGGAATTGCTGTATTTTCCCAGAAAGCTTCTTTCAGGGGAATGAAACAAGGACCTCTGGAAAGTGGGCAGTGTCTGAGCAGAGATGGATAGACTTCCTGAGGCTAGGACCGTCTCATATGCCATGGCCACCTCAATCCACTCAATCAAAGCCATCATAGAGACCCCCCAGGATAAGAGTACCATCAGGGCATACCCCATCTGAGCAGGGCAGCACCAACAACCCAGATGGCTCATCTGCTCTTCACAAACCTTCACAAACCTTCACACACCAGCAGCAATACGTGTCTATAGGCGAAGTACACACTCGCCACAGCAACTGCTGTGTAGGAGCAGATAGCTACGGGCACCCTGCAAAGGGACAGCGGTTTGCAGGTGGCCTCTCTGACTGCCGGGCTGAGCCCTACTTAGCGGCATGAGGTGATGACCCATGCCTCCTGCTGCCTTCTTGGGAGCAGCCACCCATCTTTACCCACTCAGGATATCTGTGCCCACAGTTCCCTATTTCTGAGGGCAAGAGTTGAAGCGTGGTGTCACTGTCCACTGTGCCAGGAGAGAGGACACTGCAAAGGAGCTGCCAAGATGCCCACCAGCAGCTTGCTTTCCCGGGTTTGCGTGCCTTAGCAGCCCTTTATTTCTCCTGCTACTTTACAGGTCAGGCTAAAGTTCTGCAGCTTTCTTTGGGATTTGAATCCCCCTTTAGGAACATCCTCTACCACAGCGCTCCTATGAAACGGTTTTGTGCCCAGACAACCAAAGCCCCCAGAGAGGCTGTGTCTTTACAACGGAGGAGCTGAAAAGTGCCAAGATCAATCTAGAATAAAGGTCTTTCATCAGCTGTTAACATAATGCCAAGGAATTGTTTGCCATCTAAAACTGTCACTTCAGATGGGAATCAGAGCACTGTTGCATTTCACCTGCCCCCTTCCATGGGCACCCAAGCCGTCCACCTGAGAAGATCCCTTCAAAGCATACAGAAAGGTAGCAGGAAGCCACATGAACATGGCACTGTAACAAGTACAGTCCTGTTTCTAAACAATCTCCTTTGTCAGGTGTACCAAATGACCTTCTTCTTCCTCAAAAGCCACTTCTTAGAAGCCTAGCCTCCCAACACCGACTGCATGCTACGGCTCCTTGTTCCTGACATTTCAATGACTCTATTAGTCTGCAGTATGACACTCTCTACAGGAGTAATTCTCCTTTCTGCCCTGACCCTTACTCTGCTCACTGTGAAAGAGGAGGACATTGTCGTCTTGGGAACATCCCCAGTGTTCAGGAGTTTCTCCCATTGCCTGGAGCTACTGGAAAAGCCCACGGCCTCCCCATGTCACGTAGACTCTGTACTTCCTTCTTGGAAAAACTGTAACTCCTTTGTCTTTAGGAGCTTTCATTGAACAAGAGAATATCTCAGATAGATAAATTTTTACACTGTTTCTTTTGTCAGCTTAACTCCTTATCTTACTGCTTCCCATTTCCTTTGCCCATATACATAAAACCTCTTCATAATAAGTGGATTGTGTGCCTCATTTGAACAACAGGCGTTTGGTCGGAATGCTAATGGGATGAAGTCAGACTATTAGCGCTTCTCTTCAAATGAAATGACTTTGCAAGAGTCCAGTTACACTAATATTCCAATTCCAGTAACGTAATGATGCCCCTTCTTGCTTGGCAGAGACTCCACGTGAACCCAGTGAAGCGTATACAATGGGAACTTTGTGCTCAGTAGCATCTGTTATATGAAATACACTTGAGTGCTAATAGGAGAGCTGGATCTGCAGTATCTGGAGAGAGAGGTCTTACTGTTTTTTTCACCTCCTTTGTTTCCAGAACATGCTTTTATCTCTCCACCATTCTGAACCAAAGGCATGAAAGCTGGCAGAAATGAACATTAATTGTGATATATAGAGTATAGCACTGAAAATATGGTGGTTCCCTAGGATATGAATTTATGTAAAAGCATTTCTGGAAACTATTCTCTAGTCTGACAATGTGTTCCTCCACCTACACACAGCATCTCTGATTTCATCAGCAGTCAAAGAACAGCCAGCCTGTATTATAAGCAAGGTATGCTTTAAAAAAAAAAAAAAGCACAGCATAGCTGACATTGCCATGATGGACATATGCAAGAGATGATTTTGTTAGCTGTGCAGAACTAGCTGTTTATCATCCTATAGAAAGCATATATTTATATTTATTTTCTAAGGATATCCTCTTCCTAAAGGCATGAGATTATGTAGTCACAGGGTGCATGCACCTCTGTCCTCATCTGATGTCCTGTCCTACTGCATTTGAATGAGTAGGTCAATTTTAAATCAAAGTGACAGGGTAGCTGGCACAAACTAGTACATCCCTAAATGCTTCATGAAAATGCACAGCTTAGGACAGAAGAGAGACCCTTACTGCTCCTGCTGAGGAACAAACCACTGCATGGACTCAGGCTTTTTCAGAGTCTCCACCCAGCAGCTCAACTTTAAGTACACTGGCATGGTTTCCCTGGCTCTGTTACTCACCAAATTCCCTGTTTGCTCTCCAGCTAACCTATATATGTGCTACAGTACATAAAGCAACGCAAATATTAATACAAGCAACGTTTTCCATAGCAACAGCTGAGCTGGAGCTGCTTTCCTACAGCGCCTGCCTCCCCGCTGGGCTCTGCCCCCTCTGCTCCCTCACCTCGCTGTCGCCCAAAGAGGCAAAAGAGCTGCTGCGAAATCGGAGCCACCATCACTGCCCGGCTGGCTCAGGGCAGCGCTCGCCGACTGCACGGCCACAGTCGGACCGAGAGGGGAACAGCGACCTTTCCTCCTTTCTCTTGCCAAGGGCGCGAACTTGAATACCTCTTCCCTGCTCAGCCACTGCTTTTTCATCACATTTTTCAGAAGTTAATCTGAGACTTCGCTCCTGCTCCAGGTTTATCTGAAACTGGATGAATTCAAGTTATTAGGAGGGGCAGAAAACAGACTGACAGGCGAACAGGCTGCACGCTCACATCAGCTCTGTGCTCCTAAGAAACCAAGCTAAAGTCCTGAAAATAAGCTCATTGGGGAATTGA